GCACTTCCCTGTAAACTGGGTCAATATATTGTGTGGTTTACTATGCTGCTCCCCAGTGTGGAATGAGGCTGACGGGCAATACAGGCTGTCTTAGCTACACCTGTATATTACAGTAAGACCTGAAGTGAACTTCACTGGAAACGCATGACTTCCTTTATTCTAAATGCTACGAAATAATTCAAAACCCTCTCTATTTCATGTTTTATTCTAGTCTCATTGTGTCTTCCTAATCAAATGTAAATGAAACCCCAAAATTACAGAGGCAGAAAAGCAAAGTCACTGCCCTAATCAGCAGGTGCACTGGGCATTTCCCGCAATGTCCTGGCAGAACGGCTGAGGCAGAGGACTGTTACTCTGAGCACTCTCCATGGCTTAGGCTAGAGCAGAATCATAAGGCTCGCTCGCTCTATCACAGAAAAGGCCAAGTCCTCCCACTACACCACTAGAGAGATGATATCTCCATTGCTCATTCCTCCACCTTCTGATCCCAGCTCCCCTGCAGCCCCAAACATACCAGGCACAGCCCCCACAACACACCCTCTGCCTGGTGCAACCCCCACAGCCCCTAGTCTCCCACCTTATCATCTGTCTGTTTCCCACTAGAAATCCAGAACCAAAGGCAAAAAAATCTGTTGTAGTCTCTAAACACTTCTCATAGGCCTGCCTCATCTAACCTTATCTCTGTAGCAACCTACAGCTCACCCCCAGAAAGGACCCCACTAAGAAGGCCCATCCCATCCTCCAGGTCCAGGGTCTGGTCTCTACAAGCGAAACTCAAAGCAATGCCCTCCTAAAGGGGCATCAGACTGAGACCCTGAAGTATCTAAACTACTTCTAACAACTAGCTGGGAGATTTACATTTCTAATTAAATTAATGTAAAAATATTAATGAAAAAGAATGGAAAAATGATTAGATTAAAAAACAAACCCCAGGCCAGGTGCAGTGGTGCATGCCTTTAATCTCAGCATGGGGGAGTAGGGCATGGAGGCAGGTGGCTCTCATGAGTTCAAGGCAAGATCCAGGACAGCCAGGGCTACACAGACAAACCCTGTCTCAAAAAAAAAAAAAAAAAAAAGCGGTGGGCCTACAATTATACTATATCTATCCGCTTCAACTCTACAAAGTAATGTTTTCAGAGGTGGGTTTGCCATACCTGTCATCTGACCTCTTGGAGGCTAAAGTGGAATTGCTGTGAGTTCATAGCCACCACGGGCTACACGGTGAATAACCAAGGCTGCATAGTAAGGCCCTGTCTCAAATGAAATAGCCCAGGTGGGAATGGTGAAGCTCACCTGTAATTCTAGTACTTGGCAGACAGAGACAGAAGGATCAAAAATGTAGCATCATACTTAGCTACATAGCAAGTCTGAGGTCAATCTGGGCTACATTGGTCTCAAAACCAACCAACCAACCAAAGGCTGGGTGTGCTGGGACACACACTAATTCTACCATTCGGGAAGTAGGGCAGGTGAATCTCTGTGAATTTGAGGCAAGACTGGTCTCCACGGCAAGTTTCAGGCCAGCCAGGGCTAGGTAGTGAGACCTGTCTCAAAACCAAAACAGAAACAATTACATGAAAAAAAAAAGCCAAACCAATAACAAAACAGAACCCCAGGAAAATGGACAGGGACAGCTCCAGGGTAGACAGAGTTTGGGTATAACAGGGGGAATCCACCAAAAGGCAGGCCAGGAAATGGCTCCTCACAGAAGAAGGCAGAAGAGAGTGGGCTTCGTAGAGACAGGAGAGGTTGTTAGCTTCACTGAGACCAGCTTGTCCCCTTCTCAGACACAGGCCAGGAAGTGCCTCCCTTGTGGAAAGGACAGGAGGCACTACCGCGGCTACAGATCATCCCAAGAAGGCACAGGGACACAAGAAGTTCACGAATGAGTCCCATCTGGCACACTGGGGTAGAACTGGGGTAACAAGACATTTTCAGACAATTGTCACCAGAGATTAAAAACATCTACATGCTCCTTCAGTCATTACACCAACCTACCTAAATCAGAAGGCAGCCACAGGCACCATCTAGCAAGCCCTCCTACAGACAGACAAGGCGATGACCTTGAAGAGCACAGAAGGCCAGAGAATGGGACTTTCTAAGTTAAGATACAAGGACACCCCACAGCAAAGAGCTCACCACTGCACATTAACTCGGGTCCAGCAGGACACACTAACTAGCAGCCATGGAGAAATCTTCTCACACAGACATCTCTTGCTACATAGATTCTTTCTACCTACCCACAGTGCCGGCTGCTCCTCCAGCAGTCGACTACCCAAACCTGAGTAAACCAATCGGCCCACCCTGACTCGCCCTGACAGGGCATGGAGAGCACCCCGGTTGAGGGAGTACCAACAACACACCTCCCTCCCACCTGTGGTGACAGGAGGATACCGCTGAGATGGTGCAAAGCCGACACCACTGCCTGACAGGCGGACCAGAGAGCCGTGCTCAGCTCAGTGCTCTGTGGTTCCAAAGGAAATGGGACATTACTTACAATGGCATAATGAGCAAAGAAATGCCCGTTTTCAACAAAACATTCGGAGTGACAGCTGTTACATGTTTTGTGTGAACTTATCACATGTGCCCATGGCTAGATGAACCATGTGAAAAGCTGATGGTGACAAGCAACCTAACCACGCTTGCCTCTGAGCCTGCTGTCTCACTTCCCACCACATTTCCAAATATACTTCCCATGAGTTTCAGGGTATTGGAGGTGGGGGATAATCTATGAGGCAGAGTCACACACTGTAACCCACTATGAAGAACTCACTATACAGACCAGGCTAGACTCAAGCTCTTGGCAATCCTCCTGCCTCAGCCTCCCAAATACTCAGATTACAGGCAGGTATCACCATTCCTGGTTTGTTTAATGACAAGATTTTAAAATACACTTAAATATCAAGGTATCTTTTTAATAACTGACGAGTAAAGAAATCATGAGGGACTGAACTCTAGGGGCTCTGGTGCCCTCTTCTGGCCTGCACAGGTACTTGAAACCACAGGCACACACCTACATTCATATACACATAAATACATACAACTGGGAAAAAACAACTTAAAATCTAACTACTTGCAATCTATCACTTATAGGTCAGGCTAACAGTCGATACAGTCTGGGGACTGTGCATTTTTCCTAGCTGTTCTCTACCTCATCTATCTCAGTAAATTCACCTCACTCCCTACAAGGCCCCTGTGCTCAGCTTTGTTCACTCACTTGCCACCTCTCCCACGTCCTCTTCACTGTGAAAGTGACTGGACCATCAATATGGCCGGCCCTCTGTCCTGGTCCATTCCCCCAGCACACAGCCTGGCTCTCTGCTCACCTGTCAAGTGCTGTCCCTCACCCAGTAATCAAGCTTTCCCTTCTCTTTCCTATTCCTCCCTAGGAAAGGCTGGCCTGCAAGGGAGTCTCAGCTGCTGTCTTCTGCCTAGACAACAGTGGTTTCACCCACCGGTCTTCTTGTCTCATCTTGATGCCGGCTCAATATTATCCCTAGAGGCTGGTGTCCATACCAGCTTTATGTGTGAGAAAGAATCAAGGAGTAGCGTAGGTGACAGAACACAGCAACTTCTCTAAAACCATTTGAGGACTCAGTCCTAAGTGACACTGTCAGGAATGTAAGACAGATGCTGAGACCCAAGGTCCAAAAGCATCCTCAAACCTCCTCTCATCTGGTAACCATGGACCCTCTCAGGCAAGACTTCATGTGTGCCGCTAACATACTCCATCACCATCAAGCTCACCTTCTGGCAGGTGACAGACAAATGAACCGTTCTTTTCATAGTTGCAAAAGCTGAGTCAAAAGGACAATAGATGGGCTATCTGGTGAGGGTAAAACGGCATATCCACAGTGAAGACACCGAAGATATACCCAGAGGCTAGGCATATGCATCCACACAAAAGCTTGCATACACAACATCCTTCAAAACTTTACTCAAACATCCCAAAAGTGAGACAAGCAAGAAGCAGTAGCACAGTAGGCCACCATTCCACACTTTGAAAACAGCCACAGCCATGTGCAAACCACAAGGTGGATCCAAGAGGCATACTGAGGGAAAGAAGTCAAATATGTACAGAACATACATGTATGTGAAAACTAAAGAATTAATGTACAGTGACAGGAAACAGCTTAGGGTTGATAAAAAGGTGGGAGGGAGTTGCCATGACAGGCTCATCAGAGATTAGAGAATCAAGATCAGGAATCTGGGGCTGGAGAGATGGCTCAGTGGTTAAGAGCACTGGCTGCTCTTTCAGAGGTCCTGAGTTCAATTCCCAGCAACCACATGGTGGCTCACAACCTTTTATGAGGAGATCTGGTGCCCTTTTCTGATATATATATATATATAATAAATAAAATAAATTTTAAAAAAAATCAGGAATCTGTCACAACTCAAACTGCCACACACAGGATTTGTGCATGTCACAATAGCTACATTTGCTTAAAAAAAAAAAAAAAAAAAAAGCCGGTGAACAAAAGCTGAACTCTGGATGATGATCAGGACACACACCAGAGCATTAGTGGGAAGTGCAAAGGTATAACAAGATGAGTACATTCTACTGAAAAGGTGGACCACAGACAATGCAGCACACACAGCAACCCGTTCTCGGGACAGAATGAGTGGAAAATATATAACTCTATACTTTGTTTGTTTGTTTTTTCTTTCCCCTCATGAACTGTTGGAGAAGGAAAGTAGCTTTCTACATGGTAAATAACCAGTTGAGAGGCATTCAATCATGGAGGGCAGGGTTTCCAGAACAAACTGGTAAGAGGAGAACATCTTGAACACCAGATGTTTTGGGAGTCCAAGAAGTAATGGGCTAAGCTGTGTGTTACAGTGCACGCCTTTAATCCCAGCACTTGAGAAGCAGAGGCAGGTAGATCTCTGTGAGTTCAGACCTACAAGGGCTATATAGTGGCTGGGGATGAATGGCTAGTCACGGAACACTGAGGAGAAAGGTGAGGTGGTGGGGCACAGGGAGGAGCCAACTGACCTACCTCCATTTCTGATGGCCACAATGCCTTGGTGGAAGTCTTCAAAACTGATCACGCCGAGCCCACTCGGGTCCAGGTACTGGGTTAAGTCCTTCACCTGCAAAGTCCAAAGGAGAATGTGTTACCTACAGCCTTCGCAGTTGGCAGGGCACACTGGGTACTGACCCCTTCTCCCATCCACACAGCAGCAGCTGCTCACACAGTTCAGAGCTCAAGAGTCACAGACACCTCCAACCAAAGAAACAGAGGCAGCCACTGTGAACCCTGCAGCCAAAGGTGGAGAGCCATCCTGGAGAAATCTGCCAGTGACACTGAGTGCTAGCCTTAGGAATAACATCCTGGTTCTAAGATGACAACTGAGCTCCCCTGGGTGGGAAAATCAGGAGTTGGAAGTTTTAAGGACTGTTTCAGCATGTTCTACTGAGATGAGCTTTCTCAGCAGTGACAGTGCTGAGAAATAACTGAGGCACACAGACCCTTGATATCACTCTCTGAAAAGGCAGAAAGATAACTCACGCACACATGCTACAATTGACACAGCTTTTTTGTTTTGTTTTTCGAGACAGGGTTTCTCTGTGTAACCTTGGATGTCCTGGACTCACTCTGTAGGCCAGGCTGGTCCTGAACTCACAGAGATCCACTTGCCTCTGCCTCCCTGAGTGCAGGGATTATAGGCATGAGCCAAACCCAGCTGGCACAGCTTTTTGGAAAAAAGGCATAATTACACTGTCAAGGATAAACTGAACCTCATCAAAATATAAATCTTTGACAAGCAGTATGGGCTGGCTGATGGCCCCCTGAGGCCATACTACAGTAAAAGGACCAACTAACTCAACACAAGCCTGGGCTACACAATGAGTTTAAGGCCAGTCTGAGCTACAGAAGAGACCCATCAAAGACAGGGAACAACACTAAAACTACTTGCTTCAAAAGAGATTAATAAACTCAAAAGACAGTGCAAAGAATAGATGAAAGTATTTGCACATCCTGTATAAAGGACTTGAAGTAGAATATACAAATAAATCCTAATTTAAAAGGAAAAAGCAAGCCAGGCGAGGTGGCACATACCCATAATCCCCTGCGCTTGGGAGGCAGAAGCAGGAGGATCTCTGTGAGTTCAAGGCCAGCCTGGATAGGCTATACGGAAAAACCCTGCTTCAAAAATAAATAAATAGATAAATGAATGAATGGATAGACAGATAAATAAGTGAATGGATAAATAAATAAATGGAGAAGCAAAATCCATAAATAGTGACACATTGTGTACAAACAGGCGGAAAGATGACTCAGTTGTTTAAGTGCTTGCTATGCAAGCCTGAGGACATGAGTTCCATCCCTAGCACCCGCACCCGCATCCAAAGCAAGGCATAGCAGTGCATCCCCGTAATCCCAGTACTGGGAAAGCAGAAACAGGAGGACCCCTGGGGCTCACTGGCCAGCCAGTCTAGACAAATTAGTGAGCTCTAGGTTCAATAAGAGACCCTGTCTTGGGCCAGGCGGTGGTAAGCCAGGGAAATGACTCCATAGGTGCAAGCATGAGGAGCCGACTTTAAACCCCTGGCACCCCATGTTAAAAAGCTGGACATGAGGGCACACACGTTAACCCCAGTGCTGCGTGTGGGCGAGCAGGCGGGAGGATCACCGGCTTGTTGGCTGCCAGCGTCAGTGTGAGAGTCTGTCTCGAGGGACGAGGGTGAAGATGAATAGAGCAGGACACTGGACCTCTGAGGCCCTCTGCTGGCCTCCACAGGCATGTATATGCATACATACACACAGCATCACATCCATGTCAAAACAAAACAGAGAGTAGGGGGAATTGGAGGGAGTGAGGAAGAGAGTGACTAAGGAAGATAACTAAAGTCAACATCTAGGCTCCATACACATGTGCACATATAACCACATATATGCGTACGTGCACAAACATGTACACACAAATAAATAAACAAAAAAGTGTAGGTGTGCTAATACACACCTATTGTCTGCGCTGTTGGGAAGCTGAGGTGGGAGAACTGCTCGAGCTCAGGGGCTCTTCTGTTCTTTGTTTTCATTTGTTTTTGGTTTTTTTTTCCTGTCCTGGAATTAAAGGCATGCACCACGGTGGCCTGGCAAACCCAGGAGTTCTAAGTTAGGCTGGGCAATACAGTGAAACCCTGTCTTGAAAACATACACACGCAGCTGGGTAACGGTGACGCGTGCCCTTGATCCCAGCACTCAGGAGGCAGAGGCAGACGAATCTCTGTGAGTTCAAGGGCAGCCTGGTCTACAGAGTAAATTCCAGGAGAGCCAAAGGTGCACAGAAAAACCCTGTCTCCAAAAACAAAACAAATAAACAAACAAGAAAAAAGAAAAAAGAAAAAGAAAGAAAAAAGCTAACACACAGCCCTGCATGTACACACACATATATAAATGTCTGGTGAGCATATAAAGAGATGCCCCACAGGAGACACAAATTAAAAACGCAAGGAGATGATGCCCTCGAGAAGGACTGCACCGGGTGAGCGGTGAAGAGTCTGACACACCGTGAGACATTTCCTGGAATGTAGAAGTGTGAAAACCGTACTACAGCAACAGCTGCACCAGTCCTACTCCCTTCCTAGAACACCCGAAACTGCACACGTACCAGCGGCAATTTGTGGTGTGCAAATCAGAGTCTAAGGCTCCTAAAGGTAAGAAAGGAACAAAAAGAAATCAAGAGAAAAAGACAACTCTGCTAGCAAAACGGCTCAGTGTGTGAAAATGCTTGTCGCCAGTCCTGGGGGCCTGAATTTGATCTCCACAGTACAGAGATGGATCCACCCCCCTCAAGTTGTTCTGACCTGCACATACACGCCATGGCACACACTGCACACACGGACCTACAGTATACACATGCCAACCCCGGCACAGAAACATGTACAACAAAAATTTTTTTAATTTTAAGTCACTCTTGACGTGAAGCAAACAAGTTATTGCAACAGAAGCCCCAGAGACGAAAACTGAAGCAAAGACACAGACAAATACTGAAAATAAAACTCAAGAAAAATCTCCCTAGGATTAAAAAAGACCAGCACTCGGGAGGCAGAGGCAGGCGGATCTCTGTGAGTCCCAGGCAGGGCCTTGTTACACAAGGCCTTGTCTCAAAAAAAAAAAACCTTGTCTCAAAAAAACCAAAAAAGAAAAACAGGAAAAAACGAACAATTAGGCCTGGGGAGATGGACCAGTGGTTGCAATAGCATACCGATCGTGTAAGAGACCCAAATTCAGTTCATAGCACCACGTCCCATGGCTCACAACCACCTGTAACACTAGCTCTTGGGAATCCTGTGGCATCTGCCAGCACCTACACTCACATTCACAAGTGTGTGTGATTAGAAGTTAAACTAAAGGGGCTGGAGAAACAGCACAATGGTTGAGAATGCCCTCGCTCATCCACGGTGGTGAGGTCAGTTCCCTGCACACACATCAGACCACAAACACCTTTAACTCCAGCTCCAGGGCATCTGATTCTTCTGTCCTCTGAGGGGCTCTCACACATGTGACACACATGCATGCACGCATGCGCGCGCACACACACACACAAATACATAATCTTAAAAATGAAAGCGGCTGGACGTGGTGATGCACGCCTGTAATCCCAGCGCTCAGGAGGCAGAGGCAGGGGCAGGTGGATTGCTATGAGTTCAAGGCCAGCCTGGTCTACAAAGTGAGTCCAGGATAGCCAAGGCTACACAGAGAAACTCTGTCTCGATAAAAAATAAAATAAAATAAAATAAGAAAGAAAGAAAAGAAAGAATTTTTAAAAACTTAACTCCAAACTGCAAGTACAAAATTAAGTACCTAAAAACATCAGAGCCCTACCTACTCCAAGACTTTTAGTCTGTGAAGCCTTTGGACTTCAAAGGAAAAAATTCATTTGATCAGCCACACAAGAATCAAGTGACTTCATAAGAGACAGCTGGATTATCACTAAGCTTTTGGAAAGCAATGTCAAGTACCAGATATTCTAATTCCACAGAGTGCCACCAAAAGCTGAGCTCCTTGAAGAAAGAATTAAAAGGCAGTTGGTGGTGGTGCATACCTTTAATCCTGGCACTTGGGAGGTAGGAGCAGGTGGATCTCTGAATTCAAGGCCAGCCTGGTCAATAGAGTGAGTCCAGGACAGCCAGGGCTACACAGAGAAACCGTCTGGGAAAAAAAAAAAAGAATTGAAAGATGATTAAAAACAACTGAAGCCATTGGGCAAACACCATGTACCACAGCCTAGGCGATCGACAAGAGCAGAAGCCTATCTCTCATACTCCAGGGTGTGCCCTCAACACGGCAGTGCCTGCAGCAAGTGTCTGGTGAGAGCTATTCTCCACAGGGCAGGGTAGTGAGGGGCAACTCTACTGCCTTCCATAAGGGCTATGTCAGGACTCACCTCCCGATGAACTCCCATCTCAGTACCATGAACGCATTCAGATCACAGCACAATTCTGAACTTGAATTGTAGTGGCACTATGAATTCAGAATTATATATATATATATATATATATATATATATATATATATATATATATAAAAGAAAAAAAAAAGCTGGGCAAAGGCTTGTAATTACAGCTACTCCAGAAGCAGAGACCAAAAGTATACAAATTACAAGGGCATCCTGAGCGACTTACGAAGAGCCCGTGTCGCACTAAAAAGATGTGCTAGTGAAATGGCTGAGACCTACCTAGAGGTCTTTGCTTGCGTAGAAGGTCTGACAACACAAGTTTTTTCCTAGATCACGGTAGCAGAGGCAATCCACGGTGTTTGTCCCCTAACTGGCACACACAGCCACTGTGACATATCTGACATATCTGAGATCGTGCACATGCACGTACACGATACAGAATTCATTCATTTAAAAAGCTGCCTGTGAATGGGGCTCGGTGGTAGACCACTTGCCTAGCATGTTCAAGCCCCGGTATCAGAAAAACAAGTCGAGACAGAGTTAACTTAAAAAAGAAAAAGAGGGGCTGGAGGGATGGCTCAGTGGTTAAGAGGACCGACCAGCTGCTCTTCCAGAGGACCTGGGTTCAATCCCCAGGACCTGCATGGCAGCTCACAACTGCCTGTAACAGTTCCAGGGGATCCCGC